CCAAATAAAGAATCAATGTCGTTGATGCGACTGATGTAATCTTTCAGCCGATTTCTTTTGTTTGTGATCTCAGGGCGACAGAAAAAGGCTTTGATTACAAGGATCCGTTTCAAGTCAAGCCAGAAAATGGCTTCCTGTTTCAGCACTCTCTTGGCTTCCTCATTCCCTTCAGGATTATCTTAAAAAGTAATTGTTCTATCATTGCGAGGATCTAGCGGGCGGAAGGGGAAGAAATTGGCGAAAGAACATTATCTAAAATCAAACTTTAAAACTTTTTGGTAACTCTAGTTCATTGATTGTTTAGAAAGAATATTAGACAGTAAGTTCCATATACACTCTCTTTTTTTTGTAAAAATATTGTTTTTCCGGCTGAAGCCGAATATTCTTCTTCTTATTTTTTTTTTGCCGATTTTAGGCTGAAAATATTCTTGTGAATAGTCTTAGTTCATAGCGTATGACATTTCTGTTTTCGAATGTATTTTGTGTCTGGATGTATGGTGCTATTGTGATTTTGGAGCCAACCTGCATGCATGCATTTAAGCCAGATACTGGACGCACATAACTTCTTGCAGAAATGTTATTAGCATTGAACATAGGCTTGCTATGATAATCAGCTTATGTAATCCTATTCGTTCTGTCACCTCTCACGTGTTGTCGTAATATAGAGTGTTTGTTAATTAGTCTTCATGGTCCAGCAAACCCTAATGCATGCAGAGATCGACGCTTCTGGAATTTTCTAAGATTTACATTAGTATAAAAACTTGTGAGTTTAACTCGACATCCATTCATTATCAGTGTGTGTGTTCAAGGAATAAAACTTTTGCCAACCGGAGTAATTAACTGCTGTTTTTGTTGCTTTTTGACAAGTTTTGTTGTTAAAAGAAAGGGGGAATTTTATACGGTTGCCTCTTTTCCCTTGTAGCGCAACGTAAAATCAAAATCATCGCTTAGAAACATTGAAAGGATTTAAACTTTAGGTTAGCCTTCTCTTCCTATAAGTTAAGTAACATGTTCAGTGTGAAGGACTCGATCTCTTATGCGTTCCGTTCCCAGGTGGTTTACAAATTTACACGTGCAGGATGTCATACCTGTTATGTCGCTGAAACCACTAGACATTTTGGCACCAGGGTTCGTGAGCACTTACTCTCGGATCGCAATTCCCATATCTATAAACATCTTCAGGGTTCTGAGTCATGTAAGAATCTATGCTCTCTTAATTGCTTTTTTGCATCCGTAGACTCGGCTCTTACTAATTTCCAACTTTAGATCAAAGAAGACCTTTATCAGTTGGATGGGAACGACCCTCATTGAATAAACAACTCAAACATGTTAGTTTAACACTCTTACTTTAATTACTATTTGTATTCAGCGCTTTTCACAGTTTTATACTCGCACCTTTATTCTCTCACTCTGTTATACCTCTTAAGTATTCTTTTAAAACTTTTTCACTGATTTGTAACTATTATTCTGTATAATTGTATTGTATTTACAAATTTTCAACACGCAAAATTATTTTTCTTTTCAAAATCTCAGCCTCGAGTTTATTCTTAAAATATTCTTAAAATTTCGCTAATTTCAGCCTCGATATGCTTATAAAATATATTCTTATAAAAAAGAAAGAGAGTAAAGCAAAAGAATTGTTGTATGACAGATTTCTTGCAGGTTCGCGTTGATAAAACGGGGTCATGGTGCGATACTGGAAGTTGTCAAAATGGATGCAACTGGCAAACTGTTGATTTATTACAACTATCTCCTGTGTATTAAAAGCCATGAAAATTTTAAAAGTGTTAATGACGTGATTTGTGAAATTCAGGAAAGGAAATCCGAATCGCTACCTAGACACGCAAGGATACGCGCGTGCCAAGCGTTCGAGCTTCCATAACTGTACTAGAAATCTGAAAACTGCTGACATCGGAGTCGATTTCAGAGCAAAAAGGGATATTGATTGGTCTGATTTCCTTTGAATGTTCACTCTGACACAATTATGGCCCAAGTGGCATGTTTTTGATGATACTATTACATAAACTAGATTTTGTGTAAAGAATTCGAAAAAAAAAATGCAAGTCAAAATTTTTCTTGTTAAGACTTCCGTTAAAGCTCAAGGAAACCACTTGGCATCGGTGGCTTTTATCCCGGGATTAAAAGAGCGAAAGCCGTTATTCAAGCGGAATTAACTGAAGGAGCTCACTCACGGTACTTTGAGTTATTTTGGCCACGTACAAAATTACCTTAAAATTGAAGAAAACCTGAAAATAGTAGTTTACTAAGACAGAAAAACACCAAAGAGATGATAAGAAACTATGAAGACTATCAAGGAACAGGCTTAGTTAAGAATGGAGAAAATTAGCACGGATTACAAACGACGAACTGGAAAAATTAGGCTAAAGTTTTCAAGGTGCGCTAACTGTGACGTAGCTCCTCAGTTTAAAGCTGGTCACGAAACCAGTTTACATTACTTGGTTCTGATTATGCTGCGGGGGGATGTTAATACGTGTGTTCCTATGGATAGAGAATTTCCGTCCGACAGTTCTTCTGTCATAACCTGAGGAATTCATTATTTCAAAATTATTTCATCACAGATCACGGGATAAAGTGAGAATGCATGCCTTAGAAAATACATGGTTTACACGGCTTTTGTCGCTGTAGAACAAGGGTAAAATTTCTAAAACAATTCAGTGTTGGGCAGCGTCGTACCCAAGTGAAACACTTAGAACTATATTAACTTGAAGTTGATAGAGGTAAATTAACCGGGTTTGTGAGAGTGACGTGTCAAGTGTTAGCTGTTAGCCCTTCGTCAGGATTGTGGACTGCACTGAAACAGTGAATGGTAGTCTGCGCCAGGCTCACGTTTGGGCCAGAGCCGCGAGATGGGCAGCTTTTCACCAGGCCACCCCCGCCGCTTCGTCGGAACACGTGCGAGCGGCAAAGAGCAAGTCGGTACTCAACGGTGAGCCTGCTTAGCAAGCTAAGAGAATGGTTGTCACATTTCAAAGAAGACATCATTACAATATACCCAGTTGATTCAGGACAAAAAAATTCATCACTTCTTTTTCCAGGATCCAATCGTACAAACTTTTTTTGTGTCTGTAGATAATGTACTCAGAGGATATTCTCTGAAAAAAACGAGGACAGAGTTGGCAAATACATTTTATTAATAACCATTCTCAAGTCAAGATATATGATATTCAGGCTAAACAGAGTGTTATTCAAGCTTGCTTGAGCGTTATTAGGCTAATTTTATGCGTTCACTGTGCAAGAATAAACGGCTTCAGTCATGAGTGTGACGTCAAGAACACGGAAAGGATTGACGAACCCGCAAAAATGTTTTTCGGACCCGCAGTAAATTGACCCGCAAACCGCAACTTGATGGCCGGTAACCCGCGACATGCGACGATAAATTTTAAAGCCCAAGATTCTTTTCTTGATTTGCGTATGTATCTTGGGCGTTTTACCACAACAGTAATCACAGGCGAACTTGTATTCCAAGGAGGAGAAACTGTAACCATACCTAGTACCTACGGCCATCTTGGACCCCATTACTCTCCTCTGCTAAACGCCTGCGAGCCTGGAAACTAAGGCTAGCGCAGAACATAACACGACACATAATGGCTGTAAAGAACCCTTTGTGGTTGACTGGTGAAATTTAGACGCCTTGTCAAACTGTCTGATGGAAATAAAGTATATTTTTAACGTCTCTCCAAGTGCTTTGTAATTAAGCGACTGCATGAAAAATTTAATAACGTCGCAAAACAGAACAGGAAGTTCTGACTATTTAATAACCAGAGCCGATAAGTTTGTCAAGGTAGATTAAGCTAATATCCTTAAATATCCTGAACTAGGAAAAAAAATACGGTTTCATGTATTTTTTTAATTAAATAGACTGGGAGCAGTTCTTATCAGTTCTCGTCGATCACCACTTGAGAAGTAAACAATACGAAATGTGAATTTTTTTTCCTCCGTGTTTTCTTTTCACTCACCTTTGAGGTGAACTAGTAGCAAAATGGACTGCTCGCTGACTTCAAATTTATTTTTTTTAAGAAGAATCTTCCTTTTCATACTTAAACTTAGACATTGCCATAGGAACAAATTGCTAAGGAATATCGTGTTTATTCGAAACTGAATAAAAACCCGATTATGACCGGAAAAATTAATTAAAGATATTTTGGATATGGTTTCAAATAT